GTCTCTTGTTTCACAGAACCATTTCCTCTGTTTCCATGGCCCTCAGGGGCTGGCTTTTTCTCTGAAGTCGGGTACCCAGCCTGGAGCCAAAGGTCTCTGCCTGGCAGCTCTCCTGGCAAGGTGGGCTGGACTCTGGAGAGGGATCTCCTGGCCAAGGTCTGCTGAGAAATGAGAACATGAAGTTTGAAGGATCCTCCTGGCCAAGGTCTGCTGAGAAATGAGAACGTGAAGCTCGAGATAAGCAAATTGTTCAATGCAGGCATCTTTACCTGAGCAAGCCACGTACATTTACTTTTCACCCAAGCTGCACTTTGCTTATTAGCCATACTGTAAGAACCTCAGCACATACCTCAAGGCTATTTATTGTGACCTGTCAAGTGTAATTTCAGAGGTGAAAACAATCTCACCTGTCTCTTCAAGTGCTAATGCTGTAGGAAAGCCTTTCTTGTGGTTCACACTTGTATTCCTTTTGTAATTTAATGCCACCAGACTTCAAATGTTTATTGTAGTCAGTAGTTATTTTCCCTCCACGGTCTTTTAACACATGCTAATGTTCACCATCACTTATCATCTGGGAGCTATTAATATTAAGTTTGTTTAATGTTTCCAAGCCAATCTCTGGAGTGTTTTAGCAACGTTAATAATTAATACAGGAAGACAAGCATTTTAGAGGCCTGAAGCAGTTCAGGGCAGGCTCACAGTTTTGAGCCAGTGTAAATGATCTGTTCACCATGACAGCTCCACCAATCCTTAAAATAGGCCTTAACTTTTTATCACTGTAACAGTGAGAACCTCAATCTTTTTTTTCCCCCCTTTTTTTTTCCTTAGCAAAGGCACAACCCTTGCTCCTCTCAAAACAAAAAGATCTTTTAATGCTGCATGGCAGTGGTGACAGACCTTGCCTGTATGATCATCAGTGGAATACCCTGGGTTTTCATTACTTCATCACACACAGAAAAGGAGAAACAGCAAAGACCAGGACACTTCAAGTATTTCCATTCTGTAATTTGACTCCTTAGACATGTTGTGTATGAAAACCACCACACAAACAAGGGATGGCACGTTTAACAGCATAGGTATGGCAAACAGTTTTGAGAACATCGTTTGCTGTGACCTCTGGATTGATCAATTATTTTGAATTTATTTTGCTGACCATGGTTTTGGGTGTTAGTTCTTGAAAAATTAAGAAATGAGAGTGTTTAGGATACAAACTGACCCATCAGTAACAATTTTGTGGTATTCAGGGACCTCAGGGGACCAAAAATGCTGAAGATGAGGACAATTCCAGAGCAGTACAAAGTCTAAGCCTCATTTCAACAGCATGGGAGCTTTGATAGTGATCAGACCTCCTGAGCTGGGCTGCTTGCACAGGGCACACCAGGGACCACATGGAATCTGTGTGGATGAGCCCAAGGAGAGGGGGAGAAACAAGCCAGAAGAGAAAAAAGAACTCTTCCCACAGGCAGACAGCAAACAAGTGGCAAAGCTGAGGTTTCAGTCTCTGTGTTCAGCTCAGGGTTGTGCCTTTATTGCCAGACTCTGCTGACTTTTCCACACAACCACTCTTCCTTAAGCAAGGGAGGATTTACAGTGCCCATATCGATGCTTCCTCACAGCAGTCCCAGTCAGGGAGAACCAAGTGCTACACAACCACTGAAAAAGAACCCTCCAGGAGTTTCTAAACTGTCCCACCAAGATCTGTGTGCTTGTGCCTCCTTTAACTCAGAAAAAGGAGGAAGGAGAGGTGTCCTGTTCAAAGTTACGCAGCAGGCAGAGCCAGAAATACAAGATTATTGGAATTACTCTTGAGTGCTTAGCCTAGAAGTTTTATTTTGACCTCCTCTGGAATTCTTGTGCACCACTTCCATGTCAGCTTTTTCTTCACAGTTAAAAATCAAATAAAAAGGCTGAGGTGGAGCGGTGGGGAGAGGTCTATAAGGTGTATTTGATCCACACCACTCCTGTGGCCAGACCCATCCTCCAAATTCTCATGACACAATTACACCAGGTGGCTGTAAAATGAAATGCAGTCCCTAAACCTCAGAAAAACAACCCATGTCCAGTTTTTACCGGTAAAATTTATTTCCAGAGAGGATCCCCTCATTGCACAAGCACAGCAAGGTGTATCCCCAAGTTTGTGCAGGATGCTCCAGGTGCTCTACTCATCCAGTACCAATGCAGCCACAGTCTCTATTTGCAAACCACTCACCACCTGAAGGGGTCTGATCCTCAGCATCCTGCATATTTTCCCTCAGAAGAAGCAGTCAAGCAGACAGAAAAACCTCTGGCTCCCTGGCACTGCAACAGTGCTTATCAGAAATGTTCACATTCCAGCTGTTTGGAGAGCAAAGAGCAAGAAAAGCTTGGCTGTCCATCCACATTTCTGGCAGGAGACCTCAGTGCATCTCTCATGGACTGGTGTCTGTTTGGCTGTCTGGGCAGCAGCATCCTCGCTGTTTGAAAAGGCAGATGAGCTGTGCCCTCTAGTGGGTCTGGCTCAGCAGGAGCTCAGAGGAGCCTTCCAGGGGAGGCTGTCCCAGCCCACACAAGGGACAGCCTCCCCTGGGCTCTGCAGGCCTCCAGCCAGGCCATGGCACTTATCCCCACCACCTTCTTTGATAAAAACCCTCCACAAAGGCCTCTGAGATGTGGCATCTGCTGGGGCAGAGGAGGCTGGTATGAAAATAACAGAGCAGCACAAATTGGGAATGAAGTTTCTCTTAGTCCTGACAAAGCCATCCTTTCATAAGCCTTCAAAGCCTCCCAGCCTTTTTTTTCCTGCTAAAAATTGGATGCATAGTTTAGGTGCATGATGGTACCAGAGCCTGTAGGTCCAAACCAGTGGGTAAAATCATTGATGTGGGCAAGGATTCCTTGCTGCAGCAACTCCATCTCAAGGTATCCACACTCAGCCCTTCCAAAATCCTGAAGCATCTTCCTTCCCCCTTCTTGTACCAGTGCAACTTTGCACAGGGTCACAGAGACTTACACTGAAGGGCTGACTAATCCAAAGCCCTAGAAATAGTAATAAAAAAAAAGCTTTAATTCAGTTCCTTTGGGAAACAAGTTATAAGAAAGGGGTGGGAGCACATTGAACTGTTTCTGGGCTGGAAATACTGTACTTATTCATAGAGTTGTTAGGAACTGTGTTCAAAGGATCCCCAAATCCAGCACAAGCCTCTGCAGATCTGATGGGAAGGACCTGGGAAAGGAAACTGTACATGGCTTTTCATCACTGAAATGGGAAGTAATTGGACTGCAGTGCTTAGGCCTCAGAAGTCACAAGACACATTTTTCATTTCAATACTAGCATGATATTGTTTTTAAGCTTTCTTGAAGGACTTCTGCTTTTTCCCCTGTTCCCTATAACCATTAAGACTAGATTTTGTTATGTTTGTTTCATTTCCATATATCTTGCTTGAAGGAAAGACACTGACTATGACAAGAGGAGTGACAGAAACACAGAATTATCGTCATTCAGACGTCTAAATATCAGATCTCCCCATTCTCACTCCTGACCTGTTATCTCAATGCAATATAGCGTGTGATTTCTCTCTCAAGATACTGAACAAGAGCAGCCTTCTGCAAAACACTGAGCCCCAGCTGCCTGGGGTAACCCTCTATTACCTTAATTAACAGGCAGTAAAATGCTCAGTTTTTGCTCACTTTGTACCTCCCAAACTCAGGAGCAGCTATTTTGCAGCCGAAGCATTTTGCCAGAGAAGCGGGCACATCTTCTCCCACAAAACACATCCCCTTTGCAATGCCAAGCCCGGGATATCTGAGCCTGTACCTGGCACAAGACCAAAGCCAGGTCTAATGTTCAGCAGCAGAAATTGCCATGTTATAAAAACCCAGGGAGCACAGATCCCGTGTGCGCCATGGCTGCAGCCACACCCAGCCCTCCCTAATCCTCAAACCTTGGGGGGGCCGAGGGGGTTTTACCCCCATTTCCTTGGTAGCTGGGACGCTCTTGGATCCCGAGACATGGACAAAGTCCCACCAACCATTCATCCGTCTGTCTGTCCGCCCGTCCCACCGCCAAAGCGGGGAGGGAAGGACGGAGGCAGGGATGGAGGGTGCGGGAGGACGGCCACGGTGACAACACAACAGCCTCTCACCATCTTGCCTGGCTGCCAGACCTTCGCCCTGGTGGCAGGTCTAAGGTTCACTGAGCTGGGGCCGCCTCTCTCACCTTTGACACCGCTCCCGGAGCCGGCTTTCGCTTTTAGCTGCTCCCAGTACGGAGAGGCTCAGACACGGGGATGGGGCTGTCATCCTGCCACCCCTGACACACGGACTGCAGCCCTGGACACAGGGATGGGGCTGTCATCCTGCCACCCCTGACACTCGGACTGCAGCCCTGGACACAGGGATGGGGCTGTCGTCCTGCCACCCCTGACACACGGACTGCAGCCCTGGTGGGACAGCGAGGCTTCGGGAAGGTGAAGGCATCCTCTGGAGGACAGCGAGGCTTTGGGAAGGTGAAGGCATCCTCTGGAGGACAGCGAGGCTTCGGGAAGGTGAGGGCATCCTCTGGAGGACAGCGAGGCTTCGGGAAGGTGAAGACATCCTCCGCTGAGGAATTCCCCACCAGGCAGCCCCAAGCCGCCCTCTCCAAGGCGCCTTTCCCAGGCCAGCTCTGGAAACACTCTCATCTTCTCATCCTCACTCTCATCCTCTCATCCTCACTCTCATCCTCTCATCCTCACTCTCATCCTCACGCCCGAGGCACGAAGGGTGGCACGGTCCTCAGTGACTCCTGCCCAAGAAAAGAGGTTTTAGAAAGGCCTCTGCCCTACCCCATCCTCCCAGAGCTGTTGTGAAGGTCTCAGCAGAGCTCTGGGTCTCTCCCACAGCCCAGGGCGGTCCCGTTTATTGCAGCCTTATTTCCCCGCGGGGTTAATGATCCTCATTCCCTTCCCCTTCACTTTGAGGGAGCTGCTTCTTCTGAGATACCATCACTGTGTAAATCTAATATTTACACTTTATGTCTTTGCAGTTGGGATTTTTTCTATCCCCTGGTAACCCTGGCTTCAGTGAACTTTCTGAGTGGCCACTTTCTTATTTAAGCCAGAGCTTAAGCAGGTAAGGAGGAGGCTCCCATAAGCAGAGCAGAGCTTTGAGCTGAATGCTAGAAATTAACTGCATGACAACTATCTTGTGTAAGGGGGGGAAGTTAAGTATCTAAATCTGAAAGAACCTGAAATATTGTGTCTGAAACCTGCAGGGTTAAATACTGCAGACTTCCACAATTAAGTATTGAAGTCCTGTCATTTTTCTGAAGTGCTTAGTAATTTTTGTTCTGATTCACTCTTGCACCCCTTTGCAGAAACTCAGCAAATGGCTTTAATGGTATTAGGACCTAGAAAATCTTAGACACCAGTTAGACATCATTGCATTTAAAGAACATTAATTTACCAGGAAGCTAAACAGAGTTTTAAATAAGGCTTCTCAGTCACTCCATCCCCAAAGGCATGCATGACTTCTTTTTTTTTCTTACTGCTTTCCTTTGGAAATAAAAGTCTTATCCTCTGACAACAAATACGCCAGGATCCCTCCAGCCCAGGTTAAAGATGCTGAACAAAAATTCCCTGGGTGCAGCAATGTTTAATCCTCCTTTAGGAAGTGAGAAATTATTGGTGTTGTGGGTGTTTGGGAACAAGTGTAGGATCAAGAAGCCTGCCCCTAATTTGCCCCTATTTGCTGCTAGACACGACTGCCTGAAAATATCAAGCTGTACCTGAAGACTAAATCCACCAGCAGGGTGTTTACAGCTGATTGAAGATAAATTGGTTTATTTTCTCTGACTACACTGGATCTGAGGAGGTTGAGCTTTCCCTGCCCCTCAGCATGGCCTCTTGGCACAAGGAGATGACCTGCACCACCTCAGCTGTTGCTCTCCAAATTGATGACAGTAGATATCTGGATGCTTTTCCCATAGTCCCTTATCCAGCAAGTGCAGGGTTTTACTCTGTACTCTCCTTTTCCCACAAAAAAAAGAAGACAAAGGCCCTACCATTTCCCCTTAAATCCCATTTTCCTCTGAATCAGAACAAAGTCACTTGTTTTGCTTCCTTACCGTCCTCCTCAGGTGGGAAGGGATACTCACCCTCTGCCTCTTAACATGGGGAAAAGAATTGTCTCAAGTGAACTTTGGCAAAACTCATTGCAGTAAATCTCAAGTGAGTTTTGTTCCAGCATCAACCCATCTTTCTCAGGTTGGACAGAGAGCAGCAGAGGGAAATGATGAGGAACTGTGTTTAGTATAGACAACCTTGGGTAGTTTTCAAGCAGTTTCCTGTTTCCTTAGAGAGTTTGATGGCTTATCACTGACAATAACTGCCCAGAATGGATGGCAGTTTTGTTCCCAGCCTACAAAGAACCTCCTGTATGTAATCAATACCCTAAGGAGGACATTCATGCTGTGCCACTGGGCTTATCTTTTTCCTGCTTGAAAAATAAGACTAACTAGCTGTTCTGCACAAACTGTGATCCTGCTCTTCATCACAGGGCTGCATGAGTTGAGGGAGATGATGTTACTTGTGTTTTTTAAGGGGATTAAAGCCCGTCTCACCCAGCAGAAAAACTACTTGGATCTAAAGATACAGACCTGGGTTCAGCCAAGGAACACTCTTAATGACAGCCTTGATGAAGAACTAAAGATCTGGAGCCTGCCAGATTGCAGAGGGAGGAGAGGCAAAATACAGGAGCCACGTGGGATGAGCAGCTCACAGGAACAAGGGGCTTTTGTCAGGGAAGGGAGCTGCAGGGACAGGGAGCTCCACTGCTGCTGCTGCTGCTGTAGGTGTCTTTGTAAAGGTTCTTCTTGCTTCTACAGCCAAATCCCTGAGGCCCAGGTAGGAATTGCACCAATTCTTCATCCTAAGTCTTGCAGATCCCTGCAGGGCTTTCTTCCACATGGAGGGAAGGCTCCCACTCCAGCAGAGCTCACCCTGGCATCCTGCTCAGCCCAACACCCCGTGAACTTCCCTCTCTCCTTCATAACTGCCCACATGAGCTGAGTATTTTTGGAGGAGGAGCCCTGTGAGGAGGAACCAGGACAAAGCAGGGCAAAGTGTTGTTTGCTGCCTGCACTGGCAGTTCCCACCCAGCAGCGGGGCAGTGGCATTTCCCTGACCCAGGGCTGGGCGGAGGGGACACAGGTGTCCCCCAGGAGGTCCCACTGCTCAGGGTACAGCCAAGGCTCTGCAGCAGCTCTCTTCCAGCCAGGTTTGAGGCAATCCCTGTTACTGGGTCTGGGTTTCCCTGCCATCCCTGGGCGCAGCAGGGCGGTCTGTCACACTCTGGGGTGACATGGGGGTGGCACTCCAGGGCTGGGTTTGTCTGGGGGTCTTTACCCAGGCTGCAGGAGCATTTGTCACCTGCTTCGTGTGCTGCTGCTCCTCAGGGGTGCTCGGGCCAGGGCCTCTCACTCCTGAGGGTCTCCTGATGGAACTCCTAGCCAGGATAAATGAGGGACATCAGCCTAAGCTCTTCCTGGGGCTCTGGGGAAGGAGGTGTCCTGGAGAGCAAGGCACAGCCAGAAGGGATTTCCCTCTGCCGTTAAGGAGATGCACCGATCTCCTCGCCTACATCCAAGGAGGCTTCTGGCATCGAGTTCCTTCCTAAACATCTCCACCTCCTGGTCATAGCTGACAGTGGCAGATGCTTTGATGCATTAAATGTGCAGCTTATGATATTAATAATTTGATTTTATTCCAGCCTCTTTTGGGGTTAAGCCCCACCTGCCCAGCTGCTGCAGGAGGCTCGGCTGATCCTGGGGTCACTGGCAGATGCCCATTGAGCAGAGCTGGTTTCCTTGCAGGGCATGGCACAGACGGTGACACTGGGCACCTCCCCAGAGGGGCCTCGTCCCTCCTACATGTACAAGGTGGTCCTGCTGGGCAGCATGTCCGTGGGCAAGTCAAGCCTGGCCTACAGATACGTGAAGAGCGACTTCAGGGAGCTGCTGCCAACTGTGGGATGTGAGTGAGGGGCTCCAACAGCTCGTGGCTCTGGACAAGAGACCAGGCCTGGTGCATTTCCCTGCAGCAGGGTGGGTGCAGGAGAGCTGCTTGGTCCATCTTGCAGTAGCACAGACCCACTTTGGAGCATTTGCCGAAAAGGCAGAACCTCCCCCTTCACACCTCTGCATTTTCAGCCCATTTCCAGCGCCAGGCCACAATCAAAGCCACATCCACATTGCACAGCTCTGGCTTTGTGCTGCTTTGTAGAGGCAGGTGAGCAGCAGAATGATGAGTAAACTGTGCAGCCCATCTGCTCCTTCCCAGCTATTCAGGCACCCCAGGAGGGTCTCTTAGAAAGGTTTGCATTAAAGATCACCTAGTGTCAATTCCCGCTGCCTGGGTCCTGCAGCTCCTAGACATTACATATATTCATTTTATGAGATGCACCTGGGTTTTGCCTTAAGAAGGCACAGCAGGTACAGAGGCTTTGATCCCACCTGCAACTGAAGAGCCAGCTGGTGGAGCAGAGCAAAGTGGAGCTTCTCCTCTTGTCCCTCTGCTTGTGGACCAGCCATCTGCTCCCTGAAGGAAAGGATGGAGGCCCCCCTCCAGCGGGAGCCCTTTCCATGGATATTCCATTCACAGCTCTGACCCACCAGCAAGGTGGAGCTGTCTCTGCCTGGGGGCTATTCTGCAAAGCTCAGAGTTATCCAGCATCAAACCTGGTGTCATCCCCCCAAATCTGCTGCCAGGAAGGGCCACCTCAGCCCAGTGCCAGTGATCACAAGAAGTTCCCCCTGGATTCTGTGCATTAGAGCATCATTAATGACCTTCAGGATGTGTTTGGCCTCGGGGCAGGGGGTCTGAGCTCCCTGCTCTTGCTCCAAGTGAACACACACCCTGCATCTTGCCTGCAGGCTCCTTCTTCACGCAGATACTCAACCTGGAGGAGGCCACTGTCAAGTTTGAGATCTGGGACACAGCTGGCCAGGAGAAGTACCAGAGTGTCTGTCACCTCTACTACCGGGATGCCCACGCTGCCCTCCTCGTTTATGACATTGCTAACAAGGTGAGGCTCTGGCAGGACCTGCCACCACTCAGGGGTGGTTTCTGCTGCCATGAATCCCATTCAAGGGTAATTTATCCCTCAATCAGAACCTCCCCACCCTCTCTGGTTTGGTGCCACCCAGACAAAGGGATGGGATTAAATCAAAACCTGATCACTGGGTGGTTTTGTCTCCATCTCTCCAGCAAACATTCAGCAGAGCAAAGCTGTGGCTGGAGGAGCTGGAGAAGAAATTCCTTCCTGATGAAATTGTGATTGCTCTGGTGGGCAACAAGACTGACCTTGCTGCTGAGCGAGAGGTCACCACTGAGGTGAGTGCCTGGGTTTCCCTCATCACCCTGCACAGAAAGCACTGGGACACATCCAAGAAAAATTTCCAAGGAAATTCAACATTTTAAGAGGTTTTCAGACACCTCTGAAGTTCCTGTACATGAAATCCACCATAAAACTGAACGAGCAGCCCCAGAGGGGGCAGGGGAATAACTCTGCTTGTTTCTCTTAGGAGGGGGAAGACTTTGCACGAACAAAAGGCCTCCTGTTCATGGAGACGTCTGCGAAATCCAACCACCAAGTAAATGATCTTTTCATGGCCATAGGTGAGTGATGGGATGGCTCCAGGTGAGAGCAGAGGCAGGTGAACCATGGCCCAGCCCCTGAAAGGCTCAGCCCCTTCATTGCCCTGCTTGTCACTGAGATGTTCCTCCCAGCCAGTCCAGCCCGCGCCACCCCTCAAGGCAGAAGGACAGACAGATCCACCCCGAGATATTCCAGTGTCAGACAGGGCTTCCAGGCCTTCTCCCAGAGCCCCAGTTGTATTTTGCACTGGTATCCAGTCTGGTAGTGCAATGGTGTCCCCAGCTCAGCTGTTCAGGGAGCTGTGGGATGGTGCCCTGGGGTGGGACATGGGGTGGCCACTGCATCCCAACCACTGGCAGGAGAAAGGAACCCTTCTTTGCCTTGTGTTTCCTCCTAGTCCAGGAGCTCCTGAGGAGGGAAAAAGAGAAGGCATCCAAGCCATCCCCACATGGGAAGGTGACTGTGGACCTGAGGGCAAGCAGCACGAGCACGGGGTGCTGCCGGAGCTGAGGATGTGGCACTCTGCACTCAGCAGGGCTGGAGCCCACCTCCTTCGGGGACAGTGACAAAGCAGGGGTGCTCAGAGCTGCAGGGACAGCTCAGCCTGGCCACCCTCCCTCTCACAGCCCGTTCAGAGCCCATCCTGGGTACACGGGGCCTCTTCACCCCTTTAGCTCCATCTTTAGCTGGGAGATAAAGCACAGGGATTTCTTCCTCCAGTCTTCCATTTCCAGAGAAAAGCACAAGCTGCCAGGAGCACTGCCACCAACCCTGACTGGTGACGTGCCCCCACCCCCAGCTGTCACCTCCTCCATCTCCCTTTCTCTCTGAAAAGGGAGGGTTTAATTTCCCAAAGCAAAGATCCCGGTGGTTTTACACCCAGGCTGCAAATAAAGAGAATATTGCCCTAAAGGTGTATTTTTTTCCCCCCTGTACTGCATGTCAGCCTGTAGGGAACCACAGGAAGCCTGGGGGTGGCAGGGACCAGAGCCAGTGCTCTCCTCACCCCATCCACCCCATTACAGGGGTCACAGCTCATCCTTGGGGGCAATCACCGAGCCAGAAGGGGGCCAAAGCCAATGTGTGGTGTCACAGTGCCCTGTGCCTTGCTGGGCCTCCCCTTTACGCAATTTTGAGCCCACTTGGCTGGAAGAGAAGAAAAAACCACCTGTGCTCTCTCCAGAGGCAGCAGCACTCACCCTGTCTGCAGGGCAGTGATCTCTGAGGTTTTGGGGCATGGCAGTGTGGTGGACAGAGCATCACATTCTCCCCAGGAGTTTCTGACCCCACTCCCCAAAAATGGGGTGGCTGTTTCTGTCGCCAGCTCATGGAAATGAAGGTGGTGGGGACACCCCTGGGAGCTGGCTGTGGGACCCTGGGGGATACCCCTGGGAAAGGGGTACCTATGAGCTTATTTTTAGGGTGTTTCTTGGGGAGTGAGGGGATAACTGTGAGAGGGAAGGGCTGTTCCACTGTCACAAACCCACGGCGACTGTGCAGGTGTGGGGCCCCCGCTGCGGATTGGAACAGAGAGGCCGGGACACGGGGGTGAGAGGAAAAAGGAGAAGGGATTTTATTGTCAGCTGCAGCTCAGGGGCTCAGCCGCAGCCGGGGGGCACGGGGGGCTGCACAGCCTCGCTGGTCACCCCCAGCCTGGGCCTGCCGCCTCCCGAAGCGCCCCACCGGCCGGATCCCGCGGCCCGTGTACCACGAGGGGTCGATGTCCGGGTCTGCCAGGGGAAAACAGAGAGCCCGTCGGGCCTTGGATGGCCGGGAAGGGGATGGGGCAGGATGGGAGCACCAGGGGAGCAGGGAAAGGGGATGAGGAGGAGAAACGCTGTCGCAAAGGCTGTTTGAAAGCAGACCTGTGCTCCAGCAGCTCCTCACCCCCCAAGTGCGGCTGAGCCTGGGGACGCAGAGGGGGCTGGAGGCAGGGGGTGAGTCCCTTACTCATGTTCTCCTTACTCCTGATTTCCATGGAGCGCTCACGGACGCGGCCGTGGCTGGCGGGCAGGGTCAGGAAGACGAGCAGCAGCCACAGGAGGCAGGCGACCCCCAGCTTCATCCCCAGCACTTTCAGGCCGCTGTGACTTGGCTGTGAAGTCTCCTGAGCCCTGCTGAGGACTCCGGTGTGACTGCAGGGGAGAAGGGATTTGGCTGTTGATGTGTGTCCCCGTCACAGCATCCCTGGGCTTGGGGACAGCAACAGAGCAAAGCCAGGGGGTTTGCTGGGGCTGACACCTCTGGGGAAAATAGCACCTCCAAACACGAGCTGCACAAACTTCATGGTCATTGAAATAGCTTGTGGTCCTAGTCTAGTGCCTTAGGACAGGCCTGATTTTCTCTGGGACCCTCAATAAACCTGTTGGACCCCAGAGCCCAAGGGATCAGGTCCACCACTGAAATGCAGGGCTTGCTGCAGAGCCACGGATGGGGGATGGATGATGGATGGATGGATGGATGGATGGATGGATGGATGGGTGGATGATGGATGGATGGATGGATGGATGGATGGATGGATGGATGGATGATGGATGGATGATGGATGGATGATGGATGATGGATGGATGGATGATGGATGGATGATGGATGGATGGATGGATGGATGGATGGATGGATGGATGGATGGATGATGGATGGATGATGGATGGATGGATGGATGGATGGATGGATGGATGGATGGATGATGGATGATGGATGATGGATGGATGGATGGATGGATGGATAGATGATGGATGGATGATGGATGGATGGATGGATGATGGATGGATGGATGGATGGATGGATGGATGGATGGATGGATGGATGGATGGATGATCACCTCTGCACCCTTGGCACCCACCCCTGGCCGCAGCTGCTGAAATGACAGCCTGGGAACACCCTGTGCCCCACTTCACGGCACTGAGGCGCTGAGCAGGGGTGGGCTGAGTGCTGGGCTGGGTCTCAGCAGCCACCCAAAGCAGGGAGCAGGGAGGGGAGCCAAGCAGAGGAGCTGGGCGAGGCAGGACACGGCAGCAGCTCCATTTCCAGCGACTTTCGCGAAGGAGAAGTGCTGAGCAGGAGACACACCGGGCTGCCGGGAGCTCAGGTGTGCTGCGACCACCAACTTTTGGACCCCCCTCCGCCCCACCTCACCATCCCCACCAGCCGGCTGGCCAGACAGACAGACAGACAGACAGACGGAGGCGAAGAGCGCTGGGGAATTCCCAGCAGCAGAGCATCCCGGCAGGCAGGAGCAGCGGCGGGGCCGCACTTACCGGGCGGGCGGGCAGAGGCGGCGGGTCCGTCCCGCTGAGCCCGGCGCGCTGTGCGAGCGGAGTCCCCCTCCTCCGGCGGCCGCTTTTATGGCCGGATTGGTGCTGATGTCAGAGGCGAACCCCGGCGGGCACCGAGCCGGGGCATCTCCCCTCCCCGCTGTCCCCTCTCATCAAATCAGCACCGGGGTTTTCATGAGTCACAAGGGACCCGCGTTTTAGCTGACGCTGGCTGAGGGAGGCACTTTGGGATGTGGGAATCGCGGGGTTATTTCGGACAAGGGGAAGTTTTTTGCTCCTTCTCCCACCCGGCTGCCCCGGGCGCTGGAGGGAGCAGCGTAACCACCGCTGGGTTTGCACCGGTACCGCCACCCCTTCCCTGCCACTCACCCCAAAACAACTGCTCCAGGGAAAGCAGAACACTAAATACAGAGTCCTGAGGAAGGCAATGTGCCGGGCACACGGGCTGGCAGGAAAGGGATTGTTCTCTGGGCCCCCCACTCCCATTTAAAATGGATTTTAAAATTTTCTGATGTTTATTCTGCTGGATGTGACGCTGAAGGAGCCAGCTTGGGGCTCCAGCGTGAGGGGCAGTTGTTTCCAAACAGACAAAAGTGGGACTGGAGACATCCCAAAACGGGGACACCTCTGTGCTGGCAGGACTGCGAAGACACCGTCACCAGTGGGGTGTGGGCAGGGGCAGGTCTCTGTCTGCCACCCCCTGTGGGACAGAGCAGTGGCAGAGGTGGCAGGAGCAGCGTGGGACACGGGGATTGCCACAGATGTGCAGCAAAGCAGGGGAAGGGCTGAAGAGAGGAGAACCTGCCCCAGCTTGGGCTTCAGCCAGGGAAATCCCCACCCCGGGCTCAGCAGGCCCCTCTCCACCCCAGGGCTGCTGCTAATATTTAATACAGATTTAAAGCAATCCCTTCATTGTGGAAATCCAGGGCTTCCCTCTGGCTGCCCTGGGACCCTGGCAGGGGTCAGGAACCCCCCTGGACAGAGCCCCCAGAGACACTGGCTGTGATCTCTGCCCATGGAAAAGAGTTTTCAATCTTACAGGATGAATTACAAGCTCTGAGTGTTTGATATGAGTAATAATTAAGTGTGGCACAGGTGTAAAAGTAAAATTTTAGGATTCTAGATTAGAGGTTCAAAGGGGACAAGATGAGGAAATTGGGTGTGTCTTGTCCTTTTTCTCCTTCTTCATGCCCTCCATGTTTCACTGTGGTGTTGGCATTTTTCTGTTGGTTTAGGCTGGGGACACACTGTCCAACGTAGGTGGCAGATATTGGCACGTTATTGTAAATCCAGCACAGGTAGTTTGTGGTATTTAATGTTTGTACCATCCCACTGAGGGCAGAGCCCCACACGCTGCCCTGCAGGACAGAGCTGCGGCAGGGCAGCAGAACATGTTAGAGATAAACAGAATAAACAACCTTGAAACAGCACAGACCAATTATGGCTTCTGCTTTGGCAGTGGGGCTGACAGACAGAGACTTTCTACAATCTGGGAATCACCAATACCTCAGATTCCAACACTTCATGCTGTGGGCTTGTGTTTCTTGTGGCTTCAGCTGCCAGACTGGCTTCAGGGTTTCCATGCAAGTTGGAGCTGTGCCCTCCTCAGCAGCAGCCTGGGCATCTCCTCTGCCCGCTGGGCACCAGTGACCCACACCATCACACCTGTGGCCAGGTGGCCAGTGTCTGGCCAGCCATGGGGCCATCCTGATGTGCACCAGCTGCCCCCACTTGCCTTCAGCTGCTGGTTCAGCTCCTGCCTGCTCCACCTGGCCAGCTTTAAAGCAAGGAGTGCACAGGATGGTTAAAGAAATAGATGGGCACGGAGCTGCTGGGGCAAGTCCAGAAGAGGCCATGAAGGTGCTCTGAGGGCTGGAGCCAGGCTGGGAGTGCTGGGGGTGCTCAGCTGGAGGAGAGAAGGCTCTGAGAAGACCTTGGAGCCTTTGCAGTGCCTTAAGGGGCTCCAAGAGAGGGATCTGGGACCAGGGATGGAGGGACAGGCCACAGGGAATGGCTTCCCATTGCCAGAGGGCAGGGATGGATGGGATGCTGGGAAGGAATTGTTGCCTGTGAGGGTGGTGATGCCCTGGCACAGGGTGCCCAGAAAATTGTGGCTGCCCCATGCCTGGGAGTGTTCAAGGCCAGCCTGGACAGAGCTTGAAATAACCTGGGGTAGTGGAAGGTATCCCTGGCCTTGGCAGGGGGTGTGAGCAGATGGGCTCTGAGGTCCCTTCCAAGCCCACCCATTCTGGGATTCTATGGGAAGAGAAAGGAGCCTTCACTCGAGTGCGCTGAAAAAACAGACACTGGGAAATGGGTGGTGGTTCTGGACACAAAATTTGCTTTATTGCATGATTTAGTGAACATTTATTATAATCTCTACACAGGCAAATGGGTCAGGGAACCAGGAAAGAACAACTTGAGTGGCTACTGAATGATGCCTTGGTCTGCACTGCTGAGGTTCCCCGTGAGGATTCCTCCACAGGGTCAGGTGTGGAAGGACTGGAGTCATGGCTGGAACCAGACAAGCAAGAGATGGGGCTGGGGTGAGGGCTGAACCCTGATGCCAGAAGGGTGGGTGCAAACCCTGTGGAGGATCTTGGTGGAGCTCCCTTTTCCAGCCCAGGAGCTGCCATCCCAGCACAGCCCCTGGCTGGATCCTGTGAAGCCGCAGTGTCTGGGAGTTTCTGTGACAGCAGAGCTTTGCACTTACCCTTTTGAGCTTCAGGCCACAAAGATTTAATTTTAAATTAAGAAACCGGTTTTGTTTCCAGCTGGGAAGCCCAGACTGTGGACTTACATACTCTCTGGGATGACCACAGGACCAATTCCTAGGCAGTCAGCAGCCTCTACTCCTAGCAAAGCCAAATTAGTGTTACTTGCATGAGAGCTCGTCCTACTGCTCGTAATTAAAGTGGTTTTAGCTGAGATGTACAGGAATTGACTAAAATGATCCAGCCTGGGTGGCCTTGCAGGGGAAGCTCAGCACTGGGCTGATGTCCCTGCTCCAGCTCCAGCGATCCTTTGCCCGCCGGGGAGGGAGGAGAGTGGGGCTGCACAGGACAGGAACTGAACAAAAAAACTCTTCTAAAGGGACCTGCAAGAGAAAGCAACCCTCTGCCCATCCTAATGGGTGTGGGGCCAGCACTGACCCACTGGGATCACTGGAGAGTTGAATATTGGAGGAAAACAAACGTCCTGGGGGAGCTGGGGCAGCTGACACCAGGGGCCCAGGGCTGCTGCAACCCCTGAAGGTCATCACGGCCCTGCCTAAGGATGGGGTGGCCCTAAGAGGCTCCAAATGCCATCACCAGGGACAGGGGACATGCTCATCCACCCAAGTGCATCTTGGCAGGAGCACCTACACTCTGCGTGCTGGGGTTCTGTGCCTTGCTGATACAGCCTCACATGCAGTGGAGATGTCTTCAAAGAGTTGGAAAAGCAAACCAATATCCCCAACAAGCCCTCCAGCCTTTCCTCCCACTTTTCTTGCCACCACTCCCCTCAGGCCTCACTTCACTCCCATCCCCTGATGGCCACAGCTGCTTCAGGCTGGTGGCAGAAGCCTCAGGGGTGTTTGCATGGCTTGGGGCAAAGAGCGAGTGCTCCCTGGGGAGGGGACCAGCACTGATCCCATCCTCCTTTGCTGCTCAGGGCAGGGAAGCAAAGCTCCACGGGACAAGGCAGGGAATTGGGACCAGCATCGGGGTGTGAATTCCTGTACTGGGATGCCTGGGTCCCTCTTCTACCTGGGGTACCCCAAGGGCATTCCACACTCACTGTCAGCTTCTGTCCCTGCTCACAGCAGCCTGGGAGAGAGCAGGGACAGGCACTGACAGCTTCTGCCAAGCGAGGGCTGTCCCTGCCCTGTGCTGGATGTCACACTTACACCCAGCTTCCCCCAGGGAGGTCACTCCTGCTCTGCACCTCTCTGGTCCCCTTGGCTGCCCCAGTACCAAAGAGCTGCCCCAACCCAAGGTCTCATTCCAGCATCCTCCCATGAGATCCCCTGGCCACATGCCTGCACCCCAGTGCTTTGCTCCTCTTCCCATCAACTCCCAGCAAAGCCTCCTGCCCACGGCCTCTGGCTTCCTTTCTGTCCAGGCTTTCAGGGAGAGAGGGGCTCAGGAGAAGGAGGAGAAAGCGTTGCAGGGAAGGCTGTCAGAGGCTTTGCTTTGCTGAGGTCTTGTGTCTTCACTGAAATGCGGGAGCAGGAAGATCCCCTCTCCTCAGGACAGGTGGGTCATCACAGGCTTCTGCAGGGCACAAGAAGGAGAAACCTCAGCTCACCGCCGTGTCCACACCACCCAGAGCCAACCCAGCACCTCCTTGTCCCTTCCTGGCTGCCACTGCACGGGTGAGTCCCTGTCCCATGCCAGGGATGGGAAATTCAGAGATGTTCATCTTCTCGTCCCGGCCTCAGGGGTGGTGCCCAGGCGTTGCTGCCCTCCCCAGGAGCAGCCTGAGGGGAAAGGGGGCAGGAGGGGTGCCAGAGGAGCCAGGCCAGCAGCACCCCGGGGCTGCTCCGTACCGCAAAGAGCCGCTCCACCCTCCTGCCCTTGCCGTTGGGGTTCCTCTGCGTCAGCGAGCCGCGGTACGCCGAGTTACGGTCAAAGGAGTCCTCCAAACCTGCAGGGAGGGAGCAGAGCTGGGCAGCAGGGCCTCACCCACCCCACCAGAGCTCTCAGCCACCCACCAGGTCACTAGGGATTGATTAATCCCCTCTGGCTGCGGGTCTGGATGCATCCCAGAGCACTTTGGTAAGGAGGAGAGGAGAGGAGAGCTGCTGCTACTCAGCTTTCCAGAGCCCTGCCTGAGCTGGGTCAGCCTCCTCTCTGGAAAGCTCCATGGTACAACAAACCCCAGCCTGGGAGAAGCTCTCAGCTCTCACTGCCCCAGCCTCGAGACCCCTTTGACCCGTTAATTCATTTCCTCTCCTCTGCCACCATCTTCCACCAATTTCCAAGTCACTGCCCTCCTGCAGGCAGGAGACCAAATCACCCCCTGGCCCAGCCCAGGCACGGGGAATTAGGTCTGCCTGGTGATGTCTGTCCCCACTGCACTTCCCTCAATCTCCTCACAGGGCTGCCTTTCTCTGCCTGCCCTTTGCAGGAAGGAGAGCAGATGACTCCTCCTCAGGATGAGGACAAGGGACCTTTCCACCTACCAGCCCAGCCTGGGGAACAGCACTGTTAATTGTCTGTGTGAATGGGGGAATGCTGCTCTACCTCTGCAATAAACGATCTTCCTCCCCTTCCCTCCCTTCATCTTCCATTACATGGAAGGAGAGCCACTCTTTCTGCCTTTAAGCTTGTGAGGAGAGATAAGAGAGAACAAGAAATTTCCTAATAGGTCTCGCTGATATTGGTCAGAATGAAGCATTTCCAGTGATTGTCCCCCCACCACACCAGCTGCTGTGCCAAGTTTCAGGTCACCATCTACTTTGGAACTTGGAATCCCTTGTTCCACCCCCTACCATGGGCAGGGACACCTTTCACTAGACCAGGTTGCTCCAAGCCCCGTCCAACCTGGCCTGGAAGACTTCCAGGGGTGGGCCATGCCATCCAGGGAAGGAGACCTTCCCCAGGGTGGCCAAGCAAGGGAGAAATTGCTGTCAGAAGAGAGGATGGGCGTAGGTGAGGCTTTGAGACCTAACAGCCCACGGGATGAAGGCACACAGGTGGCCCCCTGGACTGTGGCTGCAGAGGAGTCCTGGTGTTTGGAGGACTCAGTCACCTCAGCCTGATCCCTGCTGTCCCATCACTCCCCCAGCCCTGCCTCCCTTCCCAGTTACCCACACAGGTGTCCCCTGTGGCTGTCCTACCAGCAGCCCGTGAGCACAGGGAAGGGGAGTCCCCTGCAGACCCACAGCTGGGTGCAGAGGGGGACAGAGAGAGGAGCAGCATCCCCCAAAGCCCAGCCCAGCCACCCACGGGTGCCCATCTGCCACGGGCAGGGCCGTGGGCCTTACTGGTGATTTCCAGGGGACTGTTGAACTTCCTCCTGAACCTCTGCAGTCCGGGCATTGCCTGCAAGAGAAGGGCAGGAGCCTGCTGTGGGTGAGGGATGGGAGGGCAGACGTCTCCGCTGAGGCCACTGCTTTGATGGCAGCCCCTGGTTGTGTCCAGGCTCAGTGCTGTGCCACAGGCACAGCCTGGGATTAGACACACACTCACTTTAATGTCATCCAAAGCCTCCCCAGGACTGCTGCTGGCAGGACCAGGAGAATGGAGACAGGCAGCCTGTGGGCAGAGGAAGGCAGAGGTGTCTCTGGGGGTGCAAGAGGAGGCAGAAACCTCAGTCTGCCATGGCAGAGCACCAGGCAGCACGGGGAGAACTGGGCATGGCTCAGTGGGCCAGGCAGCCCTTCCCAGCACCCAGGGCAGCTGCTGCAGGTCAGGGGAGCAGGTACATCACAGCCACCACCCTCCACGCTCACCTGCACGCTCGACTTCTTCTTTGCCTTTTCCACAGACTTCACTGTCAGCCCTGCAGCAGACAGAGCTGCAATCCGGGACTCGATATCCGATATCTTCAGAAGGAGGAGAAAAGACAAAGTTGGTGGTTGGAGGATCCATCAGTGGCTTTGTTTGCCATCAGTGGCCAGGCAAAGCATCTGTCAGGGTCAGGCCCTCACCTCACTCTCTGCCTGCTGCACCTGAGCAGCTGCTGAGGCCACTTTGTCCTCCAGCTCTGACAGCTCCGAGTCAGTAGTGCCGCTGTGCTGAGCCCCTTCCTCAAGCTCCTTCAGGGTCTTCTCAAGCTGGTAGGTCTTTCCAGCAGTCAGGTACAACTGAAATACAGCAAAAAGAAAAAATGCATTGAGGAATTAATCTCCTTGGAGTTCTCCTCTCCTCTGTGACTGCAGCCCCAGATGCAGCAGCTCCTGCCACTCTGTTTTGACTGCCTTATAGCCTTGCAGCACAGACAGTGCCAGTCAGCTCTGACATGGCTTTTCTTCTCATTGTCTCCCTTCCCTGGACTTTTTGAGAGCAATTACCAACAGTGTGAAGTGGTAGGAGGCTCAGTGGGAACACAAGGAAGGACCAAAACTCAGTGACCTGCTCGAGAAGCAGCAGCACTTTGTGCTGTGTGCTCAGAGGCAGAGCAGGTACCTGCAAACCAGCTCGGGCTGCTGTGTCCTGTGAGGGCAGAGCTGGGAAGAACACAGGGCAGAGCTGGGAAGAACACAACCTGCTCAGTCTGTTTTAAGGGTGTCTGTTGCTGGGAGCAGGGTCAGAGTAGGGCAGCCTTTGCTGCCTGGAGAAGAAGGGTAAAAGGAACTATCCCAATAAACCCTCTGGTTTTACTGCCACTTGTCTCCTCCCAGGTAACTACAAGGGCACATGTCCAAGCAAGGCAGCTCAGGAAACATTAACACATCAGTATGCAATCCCATCAGATGATCAGATGTGGCCATGTTCTGCTGGCTGATCCCAAGATCTCGGTACTGCTGTGGCAGCTGCTGCTCCTCCAGCCCTCCCAGCTTTCCCTGGGCTGGGCACTGTGCAAAGCTGCCTGGCAGGAGGAGCCCTTTGCATGCACTGAACTACAGCCCATCCACCCAAATCACAGCACCACACTGCCAGGGTCCCACCCATCCCAGTGCAAATCCTAAGGCCATGCAGCACCCAGCCTGAGTCACAGGGATCTGTTGTTGGCCCACCAGACTCTCCCAGTGCCCTCCAAGGTGGGTGGCATGCCTTGCAGAGGAGGACAGAGTGGCCAGCCAGCCGTGAAGTGACTCAGCTAGGATCCCTGAGGGAGTGGCAGGATGACACACATCTCCCAGGGCCATTGTCTACCCACCGCTGACCCGAGCTGACAGCAGCAGCAGCACTAAGCCCCAAGTTCATGTCCTTCCCATTCCCAGCCCTATCCCCTCTCTTGGAGAGAAGCAACCCCAAAACCTTCATGCATCCAACCCTCTTCCCCTGGGATGCTGTATTTGGCCAGAAAGCATCCAGGTGTTGCAGCTCCCTGCTTTTACTTATGAGCTTTCCCCAGTGAGAGAGTGTGTCCTAAAACCCTGCTCCCCATTGCAGGACATTCCCTACAGCAAAACCCGACCACCCAGATGGAGATCCAACTCTTCTTTGAACTGTTTCTTTGGAGCTTGGTACAGGGCACAGTGGATGCACAAGACTTCTACAGGGAATCGATTCCTAGGGGTTTATGGTGGCTAAAAAAGCTGTCAGTGCTCTGGGGTCACACAGACCTTGCAGGGGGATTGAGCTCTGGCTGTGAACTTGTCATCCACACCAGCCCATCAGCCCCAGGCACAAACAGCCTTAGTGAAGAGGGGGTGCTGCTCATAAACCCCTTGGTGAAACACACAGTGCTGGGGGGAGCTGAAGGGAATGGGACACAAGTTCATCACCCAGGAACCAAGGGAAGGAAAGCCACAAGACAGAGCATCTTCTTTTGCTGTTGTACCATCCTCTAAGACCAGACTTTTTAATCTTTCTGCTGACCATCCTTCCAGTGCTGACCTACCCCCTAACAAGCAAAATTTTGGGGGCAATTCCTTTGTGTTCCCACCCCCCTCTGCCCAAAAGCTCTGGAGAGCCTTACATTTTCCTCAAGCTCCCGGTACACTTCGGCCACCTCTCTCCCTTCTGGCAGGCCTGGAAGCTGCCCTGCAGGGAGGGCACAGCCCTGGCTCTGTCCATGCACCGACTCCCACACCGCTGCCTCCGTGGCGTTTATGGCTCTCAGCACTTTGGCCGTGATCTCACTCAAAGCCTGAGCCGACGACCTCTGCGAGAGCCAAAGCACAGGGAGGGAGGGAGGGAGGGGAGGGAAAAATAGGGATGTTATTTGAATGTGGTGTATAAAACAGCACAAGCCAGGGGGGAGAGGGGCACCAGACCTCCAGGAGCTGTGGGAAGAGGGAAGAATGGCAATTAAGGGGCTTACACTGCTGCTGAAGGGCTCTCCATCCCATGGCTGCGGCAGAGCTTTGATCTCAGCCCCTGCTTTCTGCAGGATGGCTGTGACAGAAGAGGTCACCTCCAAAGGCTTGGAGAAGAGGTTCTGGAGGGATGCTTCACTCACTGGAAGTACCTGGCCACCTCAGGGCCACCTCAGGGCCACCCGGTTATGCAGCAGTTAAGATCTAATTGCAGCATATTGCTTTACACCTCAGTGGGCCTGAGCGGGGATGCAAACAACTCCTTGAGTTTGTGGCAAAAGAACAAAAACAACCTGACCCCATAAAATGATTGAATTGCCACATAGCCAGAACCTGGGGCTAATTATGTCCTCTCTTCCCACCCCAAGGTGCACTGATGGCAATCATGCCCCTAAGTGCTGCCCTTGGCTTGATGAGGTGCTAAACACGGTAAAAATGGGCCCAAGAAACTCATCACGTCTCTCCCAGCTGATAATTCCCTAGAAACCAAGGAGATGGGGGTGACCTATGTGCTGGTTGTGTTTACAGCTGCACGTATTTCCGAGCAAGCTGTCCTGCAGAAAACCAGCTAACTCAGTCCAGATGACATTTTTATCATTTTATGGTGCCTTCATGGTACAGCAGAGTTTTTTCACATTTTCCATTAGGTTTGTGTGCTTCCATCACAGTGCTCCCCCACTCAGAAGATTTCCTCTTGACTGGAGGAACCTCATATCCAAAATCCCTCAGAATGACAGAAAATCCAAACCTGGATCTGTTGCAAGTTGTTGTTAAACATCATCCATGCTGGTCCAGCTACTGCAAACATTTCTATCTCAATACCCCTCCCTGCTTCATAGCAGGGCCTGGGGCAAAGAAAGTAGCAAATCTGGAGGATCCAGGCTTCATTTTATAAGAAACCAGAATCTTACACTGATACCACACAAACAGTTCAGGGTTTGAGCCTCTGTTTGCTGCAGATCAGCAGCTCACACAGAAACTAAGTCACCTTGGCTTGGAGAGTTACCATTTATCTGCACTTAGTTAGAAATAGTTATTAAGATGATGCAGAGAAATTAAGTCTGTCTGCAGCAACTGTCTGAAAGCAGCTTTCAGGAAAAAGGAGGCAGTAAAGGATGCTGTGGGTAAGGATGCACTGCTGCTCCAGTGGCAGTGAGAGCACAGCAAATGGTGCCCAAACCCACCAGGTTTGTGGTTGTGAGGAACAAATGCACATTAAAGGGAGGCTTCATGGCACCATGAAAGTCACCACAACCTCAGAGGAGAGGAGAGGAGAGGAGAGGAGAGGAGAGGAGAGGAGAGGAGAGGAGAGGAGAGGAGAGGAGAGGAGAGGAGAGGAGAGGAGAGGAGAGGAGAGGAGAGGAGAGGAGAGGAGAGGAGAGGAGAGGAGAGGAGAGGAGAGGAGAGGAGAGGAGAGGAGAGGAGAGGAGAGGAGAGGAGAGGAGAGGAGAGGAGAGGAGAGGCAGTGTGGTGCCTGCTTCCTCCCTTTGCCAGCATTTTGGAGCAAATACACACATCCCCCTTCCCCAGCCAAGGCAGGAGGGAGGGGATGAGCAAACCAGCCCACAGAGACCAAACAGGGAGTGCTGACCTCTCCATCTGTGCTAATGGATCATCTTGGAACTTCTGCACAACTGGAGACACACGGCTGTGATCTGTCCTCCTCTCCCTGACCCCTGTCCCCACGGGTCACCCACCACGGAATAGGGACAGGAGTTAGCACAGAGCTGGAAATGCAAGAGATGCTGATCTAGCAGAGTGGAAGTGGGATCAGGGATTTAGGGTCTCAGGAGCACTGACAGGTGTGGAAAAGACATTTCAGGCTGTAGCAGGTGCCTGACAAAGGCTGCTGGTACTAAATCATCACTGAGCTCTTCTCCCACCCCTGGACTCTTCTCCATAGTGACTTCCAGATGCTGGGACAACTCCTTTAAGTAGATGTGGAGGCTGTGTACCTCTCCAGGACAGGCAGTAGCCTGCAAGAACTTTACTTTTGACTCTTGGCTGAGACTGGGAGACCCTACAAAGAGAAATGTCCATATCTAACACCCTGGCACTTCCCTATCCCTTGACATTGTTAAAGCAGACACAGACACAGCCCTGGTGGAGTTGTGGGACACAAGAAGAATCATGTTTTCATGATGTAAAACCATAAACCACCAAGAGCAGGAGGAATCATGGATGCAGCCTGGAATGATGGGGGTAGTAGGGCACAGATTACCTTTCTAACATCCCTGGCCATGGCATCGCTGGAGGAATTCATCTCTGGTTTCTTTTCTCTCTTCTCTTCTTCACGCTCCTCCTCGTCAGAAGAGACTTCTTTATCACTGATGTTGCTGGCTAACTCCTCCAGCTTCCTCTTCAACTCCTCCTCCTCAGCATCAGGATCCGTGTGGGACTCTGGGGCCGCAGACTGGAAGAGCAGAAGAAGGGAAAGGTGTGAGAACCTCCTGTGGTGGACACGGGGCCTGCCTGGCTCCAGCCAGGCTCAGCAAGCAGAGGAGCTCAAGGAGTGTGACCACAGAGGGGTTTCAAGCCACCCCAGGGAACAGCAGAGCCCAGCCAGCTGTGCTCCAGCTCCTCCCTGAGGAACACAAACCCCTGACCTAGAGAACCTCCACTCCCATTTTCCCCACGCACAGAACCTGCTTGGTTTTCTCCGTGGAAAATCACCCTTCCCCCACCCTTAAAAAGGTGGGCATGAGGGATTTGGGACCAAAAATCACCACATTTTAGTTAGGAATCATGGCATGGCTGGTGGTTCTGAGGGCAGAGATCATAGCAACTCAGAAACAAGGCCCACTGGGGAGAGGGAAGCAGCCATGGGAATTGCCACTCACTGAGGTAACTTTTGGAACCTCTGGATAATCTCATTGGGGATGAGAACCCACACATCAAATTTCCCTGTAGGACAGATGGCAAATTGCCACCCACCCCCGTTGTTAGGTGCAATTCATGGTAGCTGGAGAAGAATCCTGTTAAACTCTCAGGCACTGAAAGAGATCTCCAGAAGTTCCTGAACTTGCTGACCCCTGCATTAAGATGGGAATACAATTACCTACGTCATACCTGGTGGGGTTTTGTCTGAGCTGTTTTTTATCAGCCTCCAACAGCAGCATCTGCAGCAGGCAATCTTTTCCCCAGGCAACCTATTCCAGGGCTCTGCTATCCTTTCTGCTGGAAAGCTTTGCTTTGTAGTTAACCTCAGCCTGTCCCACAGCTGTTTAGACCCAGTGCCTGTGCTCTGATTAGCCCTGGATATGGGAATAAAGTGTGGGAACCTGACACTGTGAAAACCTCTTACTCCCTTGGTCGGGATTACTGATGGAAACCCTGAATTATTAAAATTGTGGTCACCCCCTCTGAGAAATTTAGAAAAAAATGGAGAAATTGCATTGTTTCATCCATGCCTGGGGGCTTTGCCTGTAATTGTCCCCATCCAGCCTACTGAGCCATCAGCTGCCAGAGTGGTGATGGCTTCACATGAAGGAAAAGAGTGCACAGTCTAAAATTAGAAACCCAAAAATCAATGTTAAGCGGGCTAAGTATTCACAGATTCTACACTGTTGCTCAGCTTTAACTTAATTTAGCTGCTTTCTTCCAAGTTTGATGGCATGGCAAGACCAGGGCAGCTCAGAAGAGATACAGAAATGCTCCTTGACTCAGCTCTCACAGTCACAATAACCTAGTGCCTTCCTCATAGGCGCCAGTTGAGTGTCCCGTGATTTCAAATGAGCTGTCACAGCTCTGGATACAGACACCACCTAACAAAACTCCTCAAGTTAGCACTTCATGAAGTATCAGCCTGAAACCAAATTTTCCTTGTGCAGATGGGGCAAGGAAGCCACTGGTTTGCACAGGGTCTAAATGGGTTAAATTTCCTGCAGTTTCTGCCCTGCCATGCAATGTTTTCTAAGGTACTCCATCACCTGGAATTGGAGAACAGCCTCCAAGGCCAAAACAGAGGGTGAACTCAAACAGCCCAGGTCATTGTGGCACTTAGGGACGGGGGTCAGTGAAGGACTTGGCAGTGGTAGGGGAACGGTTGGGCTCAGTGATCTTAGAGGTCTCTTCCAACCAAAATATTTCCATGATTTTGTCTACCCCTGCAGTGCTGGCTGCTTCACAGAAGGCTCTGCAGTGGCCAGGGGAAGGGAGGAGCAGAGCCCACACTCCATCCCTGCAGGATTCCTGCCCAGTTACCTCGTCGGGCCGCGTCAGGATTTTTTCCTCCAAGCGGTTCAGCACGCGCTCGATTGCGGACATGCGAGTGTTGAGTTCATGGATCTACAGCAAAGGGGAGAGACAGAGAGAGAGGGAAAAGGAGCAGAGAACAGACCAGCCACCACTGCCAGGACAGTGAGGAATCAGTGCAACCAGCAGAGGAAAGCAAGCAGCAGGACACTGCCACCGTGGGCAGAGTTAAAAGACATTAAAAAATAAAATCTTTTAAGTAATGTCTTAAAAATTCCAGTAAGTTCCAGGAGGTGCAGAGCAACCTCAAATCTGTAAAACTCCAAGCAATGCCAAGCCCAGCACAGGGCAATTTCCACCAAAGCATCTGGAGCTTTGATGCAGTGAATGTAAAACCCCATCACCAATAAAAGCACCAGCCTATAATAAAGCCACCCATCTTGCCATCATTCCCATGCTGCCCCAAATTGAAGTCAACATCCATTTTCACTTTCTACTAACATGTTTTTCAAGCTCTAACCACCCCATCACACTCCTGCCAACACAGTGGTGGAAAGGAAGGGGGAAGAGGGCAAGAATTCCCCATGAAAAAATCAAAGTAGGAAAACCGAACCTGAAAGTTTTCCCCACCACTTTGAAATTTTCTGACTTCTCTGTGCATTGATTTACCCAGATGCTCACCCCTCTCTTGTCCCTCACTCTTCTGACTAAAATGGGACATGGAGAGAAGAGCAGAGAAATTAAAGACAGACAGAATCCTGAAAATCAAAGAGAAGTTACTTCCTGTGCTCAAGAACCAAGAACCCTTTGTGGTGAGGGTAGATTTGGATTAGGCATTAGGAAGGAATTCTTCCCTGGGAGTGTGGGCAGGCCCTGGCACAGGGTGACCACAGAAGCTGTGGCTGCCCCTGGATCCCTGGAAGTGTCCAAGACCAGGTTGGACAGGGTTTGGAGCACCCTGGGACAGTTGAAGATGTCTCTGCCCATGGCAGGGGGGTGGAATGAGGTACTTTTCAGATCCATTTAAATCAAAACATCTCTATGATCTATGGTCACTGTAAACATTAAAGGAAGCTTTTCCCCACCGCCCCCCCCCCCTTTAGAAATTGAAGTTTTTCTTTCTTTGAAAAAAAACTAAGTCTCTTTCCTTTGATCCAGACAAATAAAACATAAATGACGATAGATATTGCCTGTTTTATGACACTACCAGTGCATCACTGCTGTTCTGAGTGGCTTCTGCCCATTCAAAGGGGAGCAAGCAGCAAAAGCACTAAGCAGAGGTGGTAACAAAGAGATGTGAGGGGCGGGCTTTGTTTTTGTAACAATTTCCATCCTCTCACTTAGTTTTTGTTCTTGTCAGCCTTTGATTAATTAGACCCTCACAACAGCTAGGGATGATTGCATCTGCTTAAGGGAAGATGAATATAAAAACCTGGCACCGTGGAGAGCAGAGCTGTCATTACCACCCCGAACTGAAAGCATCTCCAAGCAGCATTAAACCCCCTGGCAGGAAGCACTTCAGTCCATTGCTAAGTGGTTTTTCAGTCCTCTTTAAGACCCGAGTCTTGCATGGCTCCCAGTGACAATGAGAAGCCTCTGATGAGCCATCAGCCTCAGAGATGGTGACAAACCAGGAGTGACCACTGCCCTACCTCCATGAGGAAGAGGCTGGGAGAGATCAGAGCCTAAAGCACGGGCTGCAGTTGATATCGATGGCTATCTACCAGGCTAGGAGCTGAAAAGCTTCAGTCTCCTTCTCAGTCAAGGCTGGCTTTAATGCAGGGTGGTCACCCCATTGGGGCACATCTCCATCAGGGACTGGGTCACCCTGCACTTCTCCCAGCATGACAAAGGCTCTGCACAAAAACATTCAAGGGGAATAAGTTTAAAGCAGCCCACAACATCAGGTAGGGGAAACTACCCCTTGCTACTGAGGAGGGAGGCCAGGTTACTCTACCCAAGCCCCTAACAGAAGCTTTATGTAAAGAAGGGGAGCCAGACAGCATCAAAGCTTTGGGAATCCAGAACCACTGAGGTCCCTTGAGGTACAGCAGAATGGCTTCCGGGGAGAAACTTGGTAAATTGGAGCTATTCCTTGTGGCTTGGTCCTGTCGCTACCTGACTTTTAAAAACCTAAAGGCAAAGACCCACACAGGTACCAATTCGGGGATTCTTTTCATGTCTAATCAAGTTTAAGTGCTTTTTTAATAGAGTTTTTCTTTAAGTTTTGTTCTTGAACCTTCAGCTCCTGGAGTGACAGGACTAGGGAACAGCCCCTGATTAGTTAGAGCTGGGTGAGGAGCAGGCTGGGTGGGAGGATGGTTGCTGGCTGTAAACACATCAGCAGCACAAAGGGCAGAGAGGATGAGGAGCTATTTAAGCTAATTAGCAACGCTGCCACAAGAGCAAATGGGGTTAAAGTGCGAGTGAGAAGAAGCCTCATAACCATTGGGGTGACAAGTGTCCACACCAGCCATCCTCCAGGTGTGAGGGAACAAACCACAGCCCGATGTGGAAGCTTTCCCAGCTCCTGGAGGAAGTCGTGGGAGGCGTTGGTAAGAATTTGGGTCCATTTCCCTGCTGTAAAGCATGGTGCACATTTCATGCCTGACACTGCGTGGCCTCATTAAGGACACCCAGTCCAGGGTTCTCCCGTTTACTGCTGGCTGAGGAAGGAAAGGCATTTGCTAATTAAAACATGTGCCCATAGAAGTAAATGGCAAAGGGAAGCTTTGCCTACCCAGGCACATGAAGTGTGGTGCTGAGGGATGGTTATAATCACAGATCTCAAACTAATTACCCAAAGAGGGGTCCAGGACACGCCAAATTACCACCTGTGAGACTGGAAAGTGATTCTGCCCCTGCATCTGTAGCCAAACACCACTCTGCATTTTGCTGCTCATGGGATCTGAGGAACCAGATCAGCTTTACCATCCTCACTGCCCACCACTGGCAAAGGGAGCACCAGGAACAGCAGGTCCTTGCTTGATAACTAAAACACAAGCTTAGATCCTGTTTGACACCTTTCTTTAGACAGTTCTCCCCATTACCATCACTCAGGAGAGGTATGTGACAGGTCATCCTGACCCAGTCCTACCGAGGCAGGAACACACTGCAGAGGAAGAGAAGGATCTTGGGTGCTTATTAAATATCCATCTCCAGACCTCCATCTGGTTATTAAGCACTGGCACATTCAATTTAAGCAAGCCTTTCTGGAGACACAAGAACCCACAAGTAACTCAGATTAATAAGGACAAGCTGGAAAATGAGCAGCAACAAAGGCAGCATGGAAGCACCAAGCAGTGCCTGGTTTTCTTTTTGCTGTGAATGGAAAAGCACACCCCAGCTGGCCATTGCTGCTTCTCTTCTCCTCTGAAGCACCTCAGAGGCAACAAGAGGGACATGGCCACGGGCTGGGTGTCAGCAGAGGCTGTTTGGTACCTGGCTGGAGGAGTGGCTGATGTTCTCCTGGGAGGAGGCTCTGTTCCGGCGTCTGGAGTGGTGGGCTGGGAGCTGGGCTCCCCTCACCTCCTCGTCGGACGTGTCCATGTCGGCCAAGTACCGGGCCCGGGGTGGCTCATTCCAGGGGATGCCTTGGGGAGAGAAAGGTACAAGGCATTCACAGTGGTGCCTCAGCTTTTAGCTTTCCTATTTTTTACATTCTGTGCTGCTTTAGTGTGCATTTCTGAGCTTCATATTCGGGGATGGTGAGCTCTCAGCACAGAGCAGGGAGACAAAACAATTCCTTCTCTGGCTGGGGACCAGGGACAAATGATCCAAATCCCAGGCCCAAGAGCACAAACAAAGGCAGAATGAAGAGAGAAAAACAAGCAGGATGGGACTTTATAACCTAAACCATAATTGAACAATTAACTCCAATATGCAAATGGAGCAGAACTTAAAAAAGTGAGAGACCCTGTGATCAGTTGTCCATTTTGTGACCATTTTGGTTCATCTTGGTTGTGGCCCTGGCTGGGCTCTTGTGCTGCCCAAGGTGGATCCATGGAGGCCTTCTAATAAATCCCTACTTTATTCTTTACTTCTGTCTAGCCTCTGTTCTAGGTCAGCCTTCACAGAGCATCAACTCCCCTGGGTTCCTTCCTGGACATCCATCCTTAGGACAAGCAAATGATGAGGCATTTCCCCAGGTCAGACTTCCTACCCTTTGGCAGGAGGTGCTTCTGCAAGCCAGACCAAGTTTCAGGATGGATCAGGCTGCAGCTCCACACGCTGTACCCACACAGCACCAAACACAGCAGGGTCCCACACAGGGCACAGGGAGAACCATCCTTGCTCTCATGCCCTGACCAGCCTCACCAAAAAACACTACTGCCTTCCCAGTTTTGTGGGAGCCCAGTTTTGGATGCTGCCCTTTGTGCAGTGCCCAGGTGCTGGAAGATGTTTAGGCTCAGGCTAGAGAGGTACCAGCCTAGGATGGAGCATTTAAAAAGAGTGGAAAGTCTCCTGTGTAAAGGAGAATTTAAAATGAGACAAAAAGAATAAGAGAAAATAGAATTAACATGCTAGGGGACCTTGCTGCTGTGATGCTCCAGCAGGACTTGGAATGGGAATTTAAACAGCCATGTTAAGGTCTACCCAGCATTCCCAAATGTCCTGAAAATACAGCCAGGCCACTGGAGACACGGAAGGACATATTCTACATTTGCATATGCATATCCAGCCCTCCTGGCTCTGCCATCACTGCAGGGAAAACAGAGGTTGTAAAAGGCAAATTCTGCCTCTTAGAGGGTATTTATAGACTCACAAATCCACAGATAATTTAGCCTACCCATGCACCCTGCCCAGCTAAAAGGATGCCACTTAGGAACCTCCAGCTCTTGTCCAAGTCCCCTAAAAACTCAAAGCTTTCTGCAGCCACAAAACCCTTTACTAAGAAGTTGAACTCTGCCTGCAGCAGGAAACACATCCCATTGTTTCTAGAAGTGTCCATGGAATTGTAATCTAGTTTCTGCCCTGGAAATCACCAGTAGGTATGAAAGGGATGGACACCTTAGGAACAACCTCTTTGGCTTTGTTGGGAACAAGATCAGCCCTTTTACAACTAAATAACATCAGCCAGATTCTTTCCAAAGAAAAATCCCTTTTGCAGACGGATAGCTTGTGTTGACCCTCTTAGTAGCTTTGAGGTTGTTCAGAAAAAACCCAAAGATGTTTTCACTTTGGTCCAATACCTGCAGCCACTTGTCCCAAGAGGATACAAGAGGAACCCGGTCAAGGACACCTACCAGGCTTTGGGTTTCTCTCCAGGCTCCTCCTCCGTGCGTTGACGGTGAGCCGAACCTCGGTGCTGAAGTGCTGCTCCGGAGCGCTCACGCCCGGCTCCTGCAGGACATGGTGGAACACCAGGTCTGCATCCGTGATCCTGGACCCCTGGGAGCCATCTTCAGCTGAGTTGGGGAAATCTGGGAAGGACTGAGAGTTGAGGATGCTGCTGAGCAGCTGCCCACAGAGATTCTGCTTGTGTGACCCCATCTGTAGGGCTGCCTCCAGCTCAGGGGTCCCCAGAGCAAGAACAATGTGGAGCTGTGGCTGCCCCTGGATCCCTGAAAGCATCCAAGGCCAGGCTGGGCAGGGCTTGCAGCAGCCTGGGATAGTGGAAGGGGTTGGAATGAGATGACCTTTGCAGTCCCTCCAACCAACTTGTTCTATGATTCTACAACTCCTTGTCTCTCCTGACCTTCACTAAGAGCTCCTCTCTTCATTCTTCAATATATGAATGGATTGACCTTTTATAATGCCAATTATATTTATATAAAATATAAAAAAGTTCCTAATAATCCCATTTAAAGGCTTTGCCAGGCTGCTGAACCCTGAGCAATACTTCCCATCACTGCCAGGGGGCACTGGTAATTTTTACAAGAACGGTTCCTTCAGCCAGACTGCAAAACCCTCTGATCTTTTAAAATACCATCCCCTTCTACTTATTTAAACAGTCACCTCCTCAAATAATTTGTAATCCATAAATCCAGTTTGACAGAGACCAGCTCTTACACTGAATTCTGCTACAAAAAGAGGAGGAAAAGACAAACAAAAAGAGGGATCCAATTATTTCCCCCAAATTCTAATAATTTTGTGTGGAGTTATGCAGATTTATTTATTTAAGTTGTTGTTATGGATCTCGGCACATCCTATTTCTACCCAAGAGCAGAGTTTAATCAGAGCATTCTTAAAAAGAAGGAGCTGTTTAATGCTTTAAAAGTGCAGGTTCACCAGGAAGGGCAAACAAGAGAGCCCAAAAAGCTGGACCTGAATCCTCTCAGGCTGGAAGTCCTCTTGCCACACCCAGGGTCACCCCATCTTTGTTCCTCCCCAGAGCAGGAAGGTGGGGTTGGTCAAGCCCTGGCCCTAGGTGGGATCACAGGGCACAGCTCACTGCACTGTCTGGATCTGCCTGAGTCCTGCTCCTGGCCAGAAGCTCTGGATATTTAGGCACATCTGGTCTGCTGTGTAGAAGCAACCAGCATTCCTGTGGTTTTTGTCCTGCCAGTGTTCATCCCTCTGGCTGGCCCTCACTGACGCTGGCTCTGTGGGATTCATCTCAACCTCACAACGGCCTCATGGAGCTGCTGGCCAGCTGCACCCCACTGCCACCACACGGCAAACCCAGCCCCAAACTGGATGGGAACATGGGAGAAGAACCTGATTTCATTGAACCCCTTGAGAACTGAACCCGCTGGAAACCAGGGCGTGCCCCCTAGCCTTGGGACAACACAAGAAAATTATTGTCTGCTGAGAGCAAGGAAACCTGCAGGGACAGAGCCAGGGAACCTCTTGCTGTCTCATCTTAGCACTCATCCTCACTTGGATCAGATGTCCTGCTCCTGACTTGGCCTGAGGCAAAGGACTTCAACTGGAAGAAGAGACTGCAAGCAGCGATGGGGATGAGGGATTGGCACCACTGCCTCCCACCACCGGCTGAAGGAGCTCTGAGGCTGAAGGAGCAGTGGTAGCAAGCAAGGAGAAGGAGGAAGAAAGGAAAGGAACCCCCCAGGAGTCTCCCAGTACCTGGAAAGCATCTGGGCTGCTGGCTGCTGGAGAGAGCTGCACAGACTGGCGGCGAGACTGAGCAGAGTAATCCGAGTCCAGTTCGAAATCAAAGGGGTGCACAGACAGCAGGCGCTTTGTCTTGCACATCTTTAGCACAGAAAGTGCAAGAAAGGCAAATTCAGTGTAAGACACAGCTGACCTTGAGGAAAGGGGGAGGGAGGACCTTTCTCTCCTTAGTTTGCCTGAGTTTGCTCTGCTTTTTGCAGAGAGAATTTGGGCCTGACCCTGTCCTGCTCGAAGGGAGCCAGGTACAGTGCATGCTTGTGCTAAAGGCAAGGAAAAGTGAGTTCCTAATTTCCACAGCCTCTGGTTCAAGCAGAGCTGCCTTAAGCAGAGTGAGAATATCGCTCCTGGTTTATAAAGGCACTCTGGGAAAGATGGGCCAGGTTACAGCTCAGAGAGAGATCCAGGTGATTCTTTTGAGCCCTGAAGCATCTCCCCATCCTCAGAGGAAGGATGTTGCAGGCAGATCTCTCTGAATATTTGGGAGGTCATTAGTAAAAAACCCCAAAGCAGGGTTCTCATTATACAGGTAGCAGCTGGGATGTTTATATTAATTGGTGATGCCCATAGTGTTAGGAGTGGAGTGCCTGGTACAGAGCACAAGTATTTATGATGTTTCTGACATGGTTGTTTTTACACAGACTGGGAGAGGAGCTTATCTCAGAGAAGAAAAACAGAGGGAAAGGTCCAGTTTTGAAAGTGGCACAGCCAGCCACCACCACCATCACCTAGGGCAGGCCCAGGGCACGGAGTGAGGCAGTGGCAGCTGCAGAACCAAACACTTACCCTGCTGTAGCGCTCTGCTTCAGCCCCATGGAGGACATTGTCTTCCTCATCGCTGTCATCCCCGGCGTCACAGCTGGTGAGCAGCTGGCACTCTCCTGGAGGGGACACAGGCAGCAGGTCAGTCCCCACCCTGGTGGTCACACCAGTGCATCTGCAGGCGAGGCCATGCTTTTTACAGGGGGTGGAAAAGCCCAGATTAGAAGTAACGCCTGAATTTTTTTTTTCTGCTGGCCTCTCATTGCTTCCCCTGTCAGATGTGCATCATCACAGACGTGGAAGAGAAGGTGTGGACCACAGAAAGCACCCCCAGGTCCACCTGGGTGACTCCAGTGCTTGAAGGCTCAGGAGTTATTCCTGATTCCCATCAGCCAGCTCTTCTGTTTATCAACAACCCGTTGCTTTGAGATAACGAGCGCTTGTAAACTTCAAGTTTGGCATGTAACTAAAAGTCCTGTTGTATCCAAATCTACCCTTGGAGATCTCAGATGTACCACAATGCAGGGGTTAAGCACTACAGTCCATCTCCACTGAGGTGTAGGAATGTCTTCCCTGGTCTGACCACTCCAAATCTCCCCAGAAGTGCCCACAGCTGAGGGGGTATGAAGACATAAAGATTTTGGAAACCTTGCTTGAATGCAAGCCCCCTATTGCAATCCCCTTTTTTACTTACTGTTAATGTCTGGCAGACTATAAACTCTGTCATGAAGACCTAAACAAAGAGAAAAATGGTGGGAAAAGTGAATAATCACATTTTCTTCTTGTTCCTCGAGCAGAGAGCAAGCCTCAGAGCCATGGCTAACCGGAATTCTCATTCTCTAGCCCTCACAAGAAAAAATGGTTTAAAAGGCTCTTCAGAGAGAGCAAAACAGATGCTTGGAGACAGGACTTGACTTTTAAAAGTCAAAGAGCTGCTCACCACTGCTTCCCCAGGCTGATGCAACATGCCTGGGAGCTGCAGGGGGAGGCACAGCCAGCTGCAAATGGCTGGAGATCCATCCCAGGAGGAGATTCTTGCTTGCTTGAGGGTCAAGCCAATTCACTGGTGTCAATGAAGTAATAAACACCAAAATCATTTCTCTTTGAAAAAGGCATTAGAATCTCAATTTAAAGCAGCCCAAGGCACTGTTATCCTCACGCTTTGTTGGGTTTTGTGTGCTCTGATGCATTTTCGGTCCAAACAATGCATGGATTGTCTCTCAGTCCATTAATTTTTTTGCTGCTATTTCTACCATGAGTGGCCTGGCTAAAAGAGTGATTGGAGCAGTTGAATCAGGTCATTTCAATGATATGTGTGCAAACTTTTCTGTGGATCCTCAAGATGGGAATAAACTCCACATTGGCTTCCAAAGGCGACAGGCCAAGGAGTAGGAGCTCTATGAATAACAACTAGGAGCTGGTTAGTAATAATGCTATATTAATATAATCATATATTTACGTACTCTTGGACCAAAATCAGAATATGGAAGGTCCATGAAGCTCTGAAGAAAACAGTTATGGTGACAGGTAGCTCACCAATTTTGGCACAGTTTTGTCAGTGCCAGGAGATGATCGGGTAGTTTGTAAAAATCATCAGGTCTTGGATAAAAAAATGAGGCTGGCTTTATCCTGCAGGTTAAACTAGGGTTAATTCCACAAGCTCTGCGATGAAAAGACCAAAAATAAAGGAAAAAAAAGACCTGCAAATATACTTACAAACTGCAGGATGTGGGACTTTGAAAATTAAACATCTGGCATTAGGGAATTATTTTTTCATTGAAAGGGTGGTCAAGGAAGTGGTGAAACCACTATCCTTAGAAGTGTTCAAAAAAACACATGGATCTGGCACCTGGGGATGTGGTTAATGGTGGTCTTGGTAGCACTGGGTTGGACTGGATGATCTAGACGTGTTTTCCAACTGTAATTATCTTACATTCTCCAGTCTGTGGCAAAGACTTAAGACTTAAGAGTAGAAAAGCCATCAAAAACACCTGCTCTGTGATTGAACGAAGAACCCTGAACCTCTGCTTCCTCCCTGAGATGTTTTGAGCAGTCTTGGTACCCCACGACACTCAGAGCAGCATCAACACTGCTGCACCCCGAGGTGGTGCAGCACAGATTCCCCAGGAGCAGCAGGGGCCATTCCTCACCCAGAAAGGCAGAGTTGAGCCCCTGGCCTGGCTGCAGCCTGCCATAGAGGGACTGCAGCACTTTGGCACTTCCAAACCTCTTGAAGCGGGAGCGCACGTGTTCGTAGTACCACTCCAGGGAGCCGATCTTCACGATCCTGCCCAAAGAGAGGAGGCACACCCAGGTGAGCAGACCCTCGCCCAAAAAGCTGTGTCTTAACAAAAACACAGCATGCTTTCATCTAAAAGGATGCTGAGTTTTGGCAAGTTCTGTTGAACCTCATCACCTTGTCCCTCAGAGCAGAGCAGTGAGGGGTGGTGTTCCCAGGGGCTGATATGGCAACTGGAATTCTTTAACATATATGCTGGTGACATGGGCAATGGGATTGAGTGTTCCCTCAGTTCACTGCCACACCAAGCTGTGTGGTGCTGTCACATGCTGGAGGGAAGGAATGACAGCCTTGAGAGGTGGGGCTGTGAGAAACTCCTGTGGTTCAACAAGACCAAGTGCAAGGTCCTGCCCCTGGGTTGCAGCAATCCCAAGTGAATAGACAGGCTGGGTGGAGGATGGGTTTGGAACAGCTCTGGGGAGGAGGACTTGGGGGTGCTGGAGGGTGAGAATGTTGACAAGAGCCAAAAATGTGCGCTGGCACCCAGAAACCCCCTTGTGTGCTGGGCTGATCCCCAAGTGTGGGCAGTAGGGGAGAGGGGAATTCTGCCCCTCTGCCCCAGTCAGGTAAGACCCCACCTGCAGAGCTGCCTCCAGCTCTGGGGCCCCTCAAAAAAGGACATGGAGCTACTGGAATGAGACCAGGGGAGGCCACAAAGGTGCTCTGAGGACTGGAGCCCCTCTGCTCTGGAGCCAGGCTGGGAGAGCTGGAAGTGTTCACCTGGAGAAGAGAAAGCTCTGGGGAGACCTCAGAGCCCTTCCTGTGCCTAAAGGGGCTCCAGGAGAGCTGGAGAGGGACTTGAGATAAGGGCTTGGAGTGACAGGACAAGATGAAATGGCTTCCCACAGCCAGAGGGCAGGGTTAGATGGGATATAGGGAAGGAATTGTTCCCTGTGAGGGTGGGCAGGCCCTGGCACAGGGTGCCCAGAGCAGCTGTGGCTGCCCCATGCCTGGGAGTGTTCCAGGCCAGGTTAGATGGGGCTGCTAGAAGGGCAGGGGGTGGAATGAGATGGGCTTTAAGGCGCCTTCCAGCCCAAACCATCCTGTGGTTCCCTGAGGAGCAGCACCTGGAGAGGCGGCAGGGATCACAGACCCAGCCCTGCTCCTTCTTGTTGTAGCGGCTGCAGTTCTTGCAGGTGTAGAAGTGGCAGTCCAGGCACTGCCGTTTGCTGTTCAGCAGGAACTTGAAGGGCTGCAGGCAGTGCACACAGTGAGTTTCGTTGAGGTGGGACTGATTGGTCAGGAACTCTCTCTTGCTGCTCTCCTGGTCGATCTTGCATTTCAGCTCCCTGTAGGAGACACCCCCAAAAACTTGAGTTTGTTATCATCTCTCTGCAAACTCTCACATGGCAAAGCCCATCATGCCACAATCATTTCAGGAACGATTTTCCAGGGAACATTGCAAGTCTGCAGCTTGTGGAAACAGCTGTAGGGCAAATCTAATAAATAACATATCACGAGTTAAATAAGCAAACAACAAAGTGGGCTCCAGATTCAGGACGGGTAACTGGAGTTTCATATTAGGTTTAATTTAATATTAGAATCACAGAATATTCTGAATTGGACAGGACCCACAAGGATCATGTAAAAAAAAAAAAAAAAAAAGTGATTGTGCCAAAACCTGTCCTGTTTGTTTCACAGGGTGTTTATCATTAATGCCAGGAACCTCGGGAGAGCAGCTCTTCTCAAACCCTGTGGCTGTATCCCAACATGACACAATCTTCAAGCCTGGAGTCATGCAGGGAATTAAAATCTTTCTGGAATTCTTACTTTTAAAGAGGGGGAAGGGGAAGAAAAGAAACCTGGGATTAAAAAGGGTTTTAATATAAAAATTCAGCAGAGAACTTTATGAAGTTATGTGCAACAAGGTTCTGGCTGTTCAGAGGATGCAGCAGGAAGAGGTGCTTGTGACAATCCCGTGAAAGGGAAGCGCTTTCCAAGAGCACCTTCACCTGGCAGTGCATCCCTGCAGGCTTCTTCACTATCCAGACCTGGCTGCCAGAGCAGGTCCCCATTGCAAAGAGTGTCTGCATGAGGCTGAGGCCCCAGCACCAGCTGGGGACAGCTGAGACGCCTGCCAGGCTGGTGGGGTACCCTGCACTGCCCAAAAGCTCTCTGTTTGCTGCCCGTGCCACGCACCACCTCAGGTATGTTTGCCTTTGGGGCCATGGCTGAGAGGAAAATGTTTGACTTGTAGGGAAGGTCCTAGAAAGTTGTTTTCTCTCTAGACAGGGTTAGGAAGCTGTGTTTTTCAGAGCAGAAGTCAACTTGGGTTAAAACCCTGAAGCAATCAGGTCTGGAGGCTGCTTCAGAATCACAGTGTGGACCACGAGGCACTGGTGATGCTCCCCCGTGCTGCACTGACGCCGGGGTGACCACAACAGGAGCCTGGCTGGCCCTGGGAGCAGTGGTGTGACTGGCAGTGGGAAGGGCAGGCATGTCAAGCAAGCCAATCTCTATTTAACCTAATCAGTTTGCACATTAAGGCTCAGCTTTTCATTTTTTTCCAAGGAAGCATTTTCTGGCCAGCTGGCAGCCAACACATCGCCAGACACATTTTTTTGGTGTCACTCCTCTCTTTGTGGTCACACAGGAGTGACACCCACTTGCATTTGCATCTGGGAGATGTAAAAACCAGCACAAAGACAGAAAACTGGGCACCTGGTTTGTAAAATCCACCCTTCACTATCCTAGCAGTGATTTGGACAAACTGGTGCAAATGTCCCAGCAGTAAATTTAAGTGACTTCTGAAATGAAATCCCCAAATAGAAAACCCTTGGGTTTTCTGTAGTCCTTTTCCACTCCCGTGCTAAGGCTGTTGCCAGCAGGATCCAATCTATTTTACTGGAACTGCTTTTTCTGGTTCCCAGAGACCGGTTGGATCCCTTCACCTCTCCTCCCTCACCCACCAGACCTGCCAAAGGAAGGAAGAGTCTCAGCCAAACCAGTTTAAAACCCGCAGGAACCGCATGCCTCTCGTCTCCTCTTGCTGGCAGGAGCACCAGCCAGCCCCTTCCCTGCTCTGCTCACGTCAGGATAAATAAATCTGTGGTGTTGGGATGCCAGATGCAGCAGGATTGGACCCACAGAACTCCAGCAGAGATGCAGGGAGCCATCCCCCAAAAACGGGGTTGTGGGCGTGGATGTTTCAGGAAAGAACCAGGGAGAGATCCCTCAAAATGGTCATTATTTCATTTTTTGGACAAAGCATTGCCTTCACACGCCTGTGCAGTCTGTGGCCAGCTGAAGCCTTTGTCCCTTGTTTATGAATAGCTTCTGCCAAAAACAAAATGCAGAGAAGCAGCAAAAAGGGAAGAAAAAGACCAAGCTGAGAAGGGGCTGGACAGGACATTTCTTCAAGGCTGGCAGGTTGAGACAAGCCCGGTGAATAGAAAAGTAAATGAATAGAAAAGTAAATGGGACTGGTCAGAGCACAGAGTGAATGGCTGCATGGTCTCCGATAATGTCACATCATGTCCCAGCTTGTTACAGGCAGAAAATTCTTGTGTAGCTCCAGGTCCAGCACTCAGGAATGTGGCATACTTTCCCAGGCAGGTGGTCTGGTCTGTTGCAGAAATTATTCAGAAAGTACAGAAATTCTCTGTAGGTCCGAGTGCTTAATGTCAGCCCTCTGCAGGGCACGATTAAAGAAGAAAATAAAAATTAGAAACCAGGGGAAATGGTCCTTAGGAGGAGAGAGAGCAGCTGGGTAGGAGCATCCCAAGACCTTCCCCCATCCTGCATCTCCCAGAGCATGGTATCCAATTTGGAAGCTTCCCGGGCATCAGAGGAGACCCAGATAAGCCAGTCTGGCACCAAGGTCAAGTAAGGAAGGAATTCACCTCACCCAATTCTTTGCTGCAGGGCACTGCAAAGTAGGTCTCCACCTCCTCCCTCCAGGCTGAGCTTAGATGCATCACAAGGGAGACATTCACCCTTTGCAGGGTGATAATTTTTTAAAATACCCCTGTCTGATCTCCTCCCTGCTCTTCAGAGCTACCAGCAGAGGAAGGCGGTAGATGATGATATTGAATTATCTCTGCCTCCCACGCAGGCTGGCTTTTCTTAGGCAAAAAATAATTTAAAAAAAAGTAATCAGGGCAATGAAAAATACACAACTGAGAGTTTCTTGTAGCCATTGGTGTAAATGAAGAGGGTGCCATGATTGAAAGGTTTTGGGGGATGCAGATATCCCAAACTGAGGATGGCTATCACTCCTCACCCCTCCTTTTGGATCTGTTAGAGGAACTAATGAGCTCCTGGTCTCCAGGCATTGGTATCAACACCAGCCCTGGCACACAAAATTCAGAGCTGGGAGGGTCTGAGGGCTCAGTGGGAGTGCAGCACAGCCCAAATCCAGTCTGAGAGCATGGACCATCCCTTTGGATAATGATAACTTGGCCAGACCCTGAAGAGGGTCACTGCAGCTTTTTGAAATATGTTAAGGCATTATTAAGTTCAGCATCTGATGAAGTTCATGAACAAAACCTGAAGCCCTGTGATTTCTCATGCTCAAAATTTAATCTGATCTGACAGAACATTTTTTAGACAGCACTTCCGTCCAACACCCTGTTTATAAGGATTTAGAAGTTCATAGAATTTGCTGCTCCAGTGACTTTTCAGTCTTTCCCCAATCTGTGGGCCCCTAAAATCTTTCCAGGACAGCACAGCCCCTGGTATTGCGTATTTAAGGTTACTAAAATAGTTTTACTACTCCTCTCAATTATTTTTTCAGGATTCCCAGAACCCACTGAACAACTCCGTCCCAAACCACACGAGACCCATCACATGAAGCAAAAGCAAGGGAGCCAAATCCCATGCTCTGCTCCCGGGTGAAGCCTGCCCTTGAGAGCCCCACCAGCCTCAAGCCTCGCCGAGGCATTTCCTGGTGTTTGTCCCCATAAAGTGTGGCGGTGTCACCGATCCGCGTGGCTGCCGGTGGCACGGCGCCAGTTTGCACCTTTGCCGGCCGAGTGCGTCACCTCGCCGCTGATAACGTAATCTATTAACCGTGTTTGGCTTCCTCAGCCCGGTCTCCTCGCCCACAGCCTCAGCAGGTTGTTTTGTCCCTCCAGCCCACGGGGACCCGAGGTTTTGGCTGGCTTGCCCCTAGCTCAGGGACCGGACAGCAGATACTCACTCCAGCCGTTCCTCCTCTTTTTTCCGCAGATCAAAGTCCCGTTGAACGACTTCCCAAACATGCTTGGCTTCTTCATCGGTGAGCTTGGAGAGGTCCAGCTTCCTGCCCATCTCGTGGCGGCGAGCCGTGGAGCCGATCCCGTTACTCGCTCCCCCCGAGCGCTCGCTGTCCCGTACCCGGGGATGCTGCTGAGAAGGGGGAAGAGCTCAGCCCCACCTCCGCTCTGCCCATATAAGCGGGCAGGGGCAGAGCTGCGGGCAGGCCAGCCGGCTCCTGCCAGCACCGCAGCCGCTCTGCCGGGCGAGCAGGGCTGGCACGGCGCCTATGGGCTGCGGGGGCTCCTCGCCAGCCGGGAGGGCGGCCCTGCCATCCCCCGGGGTGCTGCCCGCAGCCGCAGCCGCTCCGGACCTCGCCCGCCTGGCTGGGGCTGCGGGAGCTGTTTACTCTGCCTGCTCGATGCAGGGTGTGCGAATGAAAGGGAACCTTCAAACGCCTCCCCGGGGAAGGCAGGCCACGGGCTTTGGGAGGGAGCGGAGCATCCCCGGGAGGAGCCGCGCCTGCACGCCCGGGAGGACCGGCTCCATCCCCGCCAGGATGCTCCGCTCCCCAGCCCGCTCTTCTGTGTCTCATCTCATTACACAAATTTTGCCCCTAGCAGCAGTTTGTGAGGAAAACTTCAGCGCATCTGGCTTCCCCCCCACACATATACCAGAGACTAGCGTCCTGCCTTGCTCTCACAGCAATTTTTGGGCAGCTGAGCTTTGCTCGTGGCAAACAGCTTAATTAGGACGCAGCACTTCCCTCGTTTGCCCTGAGCAAGAAAAGACGGTTTGACAGGATTTTAAGAAAAGTGCTAAATACACCACATAAGCAAAGAGATATAAATTGTAATATATATCCGACTGCCGAAGCTGTTGTCTTGCTCAGTGAAACACTCCCTCTGTGTTCAAAGTAAACCCATTTCTCACCTTCATGAGATCAAATATTGACGGTACTTTTTTTTCTCCTCCCTGATATGAATGCAATCAGGGAGCAAGACAGCAAGACCAAAGAGGAACCAGAGTGCCTGGTGGGACTAAAATCCCTGCTGCCCACCCAGAGATACAGGGAATTATCCACCCTGGTAACTCACTTGAAACAGAGATTAGATTAAACTCCATGAACAAGGCCAGAAAAGTATTTTGAACCCGAATTAGGATGGATTTTGTGCAGGAAAGGTGATGACTACAGATGCGGTGTTTGAGCTTGGATATCGGGAATGCATGATCTCTGGAAGCCAGAAATTGATTGCCAGCCCCTCGTCCAGCAGAGGTCCCGACAAAAGCAATCAGTTTGTTGGCAGGAGCCAGATATCAGTCGGGCAGGTCCTTATGTAAGCGTATTTGGGAGCCCTTGCGCCCCACTGCATCCGAAGAGGGAGCGGTCAATAGCGACTAATTAACATCACAACGAGCCCCTGTTCCAGGGCCTCCCGCTCCAATCACCCAGCAGCTCTCACCGCCCTAGATCCCAATTCATCCTTCTCCACAAGGATAAAGGGGTTGCGTTAAATCAGGAAGATGTGGCCTGCTATGCAATGAACATGGGAAAAAAATGTAAGTTTTCAGCAGTGCCAATACCCCCTAAAAAGGGCTGGCTTAGCCAGAAAACCACCTCAAGGGAAATGGCCTGGGTGCAGGAATAAATTCAAAGTATTCCGTTGGCAAACTATTGCCTGGGAACAGAGTTTCTGTAGGAAAACTCTCCTCCCTCAGCTCACTGGTGTGCGTAACAGCAAAGACAGAAATTTTTTTTTTTTTTTTTTCATTTTTCCCTCTTTCAAAGCAGTTTGGATTTTTAGCAGTTCAGACCCAGCAATCACCAGCTTCCAGCAATTCTCTGCCTTAAGGAGGACAATTAAACCTGCCCACCCACAGCTCCCTTTCCCATCATAGAACTGTGAATAAAGGCTCACAGATCTTACAAACTCATGCAAAACAAAACAAAACAAAACAAAACAAAACAACTCAAAACCCAAAAAAACCCAGCACCAAACCACGTACCCAGAACCACTCAGACACTGTCGCATGAAAGCCTTCAGAAAATATGTGGATGTGGCACTTGGGGACATGGTTAGTGCTGGAACTGGCAGTGTTAGGTTAATGGTGGAGTCAGTCTTAGAAGACTTTCCACCCTTTATGATTCCAAGTTGTAGGGCCAGATGATATTATAGGTGTGCCTAAGTCCACCAGCCCCTGCAGTGAGTGACCACATGTGTGGGGTGGAGATCAGGAGCAGGGATGTAAAGGAAAAGTTTTGTGTTTCCTATTAGCTGGAAGCTCAAATGGACCTTGATTCCAGTTGAATCGGGGACCTGGTGGCAAAATGGGAGAGGGAAGTGTCATAAGCTAAGCCTTTCGTGGGAAACCAGGCATAGATGGATCCCAGGCTCCACTTCTGATTTTTATTATTGCCACAGGGGGAAATGAATGGATTTCTGGGGCATCTTTAAGAGAAATGCACTTCTAGCTGCAGGGCCACTCTTTTAAAAATAACAGTCACATGAACTGTTATCTTTGCAGTTCTTGGTAATTATTTGTACTACAACTGTGAACTGATATATGGGACATGTGGCCTGGCCCTCCTCCAGCCATTCATTTCACAATGTTTTAACTGATAACTGGAAGTAAATCCATAATCAGAGTTCAACAAAACATGAGCGAAGATAATATCCTGCTGCTTCTAAAGACAGCAAACACCACCTCAGTAAGCCACCCAGCACTCCCACATCCTCATCTTCTTCCTGCTGAAGGGGGCAAACCAAGGGACAAAACCCCAATAATTTCTCCAGCACCCAATTTTCCAAACAGCTGCATTAAGTGCTGCAGAGGGCAGATGTGCCTACACAAGGTGCTGAAATGGTGATTTACAGTGGAGTCAGCTCCAGCTTTGTTTCTCACTCCATCAACACTGAGGGGTGTTTTGGGTCCCCTCAACACGGGTCAACCCAAATACCAAGCTAGAGGAGTTTCCGTCACCAGGAGCATCCACCAGCAGCTCCAGCCCATTTCAAAGCCGCAGGCAGAGGTCACAGGACCCTTATTCACAGGAGCATAACAAAAACAGAAGCTCCAACAGGCACGTTGCTGGAGTTTCCTGAGTGCCTCTGCCTCTCCCCCCATCCTTCTACGATCATCTCCAAGTCATGAGATATCCCTGGGATGGCATTCCTTCTCCCTTCAGTTTCTTGGCAGCTTTACAATGGCGCCTTATCAGCACCATCATAGTGGAGAAGAACAAGCAGGACACGGAAGGAGTGTACAATGCCACTGCTATTTCTGTATGTGACTCACGAGGGATTGCCATGGGTTTCATCCATTAATACAGCAATTAAATTATGCTATGGCATGACCACATCTCATTTGGAATGACCCCAACAGCCTCACTTAGAGAAAATAACCATTCAACTTTAATTATCATGGATAACGATGCTCTGACCTCTGTAACAATTAGGAAACTATCACAGAGAACATGAAAACAAAGTTTGTGGAGTATCATTTATGGGGTTGAAGACATAAGGACATTTTTCCCAACCAATGTGACCATTAGGGAGCCCTCTCAGTCCCAACAGCCATCACAGATCCCATAGCCCTTACAGATCCTCAAAAACCCCATGAGCCTCACGGCACTGACAGCCCCCCAAAGCCCCCATATCCTACACAGACCCCAGAGCCCACATACCCCAAACAGACCTCAAAGCCCCCACAGCCCTCACATCCCTAACACAGCCCATAACCCTTAACAAACCCCATAGCTGTCACATCCCTCGTATAACAGATAGCCCTTACAGACCCTATAGCCTACACAGACCCTACAGGCCTTAGAGCTCCCAAAGCCCTCACAACCCCATAGGACCCATACCCAAATTATGGGAAAATGGGGAAATAGTCCTCAATTTTAACCCTAAAAAGGTGAGGGACAACAGAGATTCCCTCTCAATTTAAACCTTAAGATGATTAAAATGGGAGGGGAGGGGGAGGGGGGGGTGTGTTGCCTTCAATTCAAACCAAGCACATGACACAAAAAAGATCTTTCTTTTTCACTTAAACTGGAAAATGGGATTCCTGGTAAATTAATTGATACCCCCCAAAACACAGAAAAGGCAGGTTTTCGGTCAATTGATAACATTTAAATCACAGCTGAAGGGGTCTTAGTTTAAACAGAAATAATAATGGAAAAGGAAGGCTTTCCCTCACTTTAAACCCCTTTTCCCCCCAACTCCCTGCCTTTGTTCTGGGATCAAAAGGATGCACTGGAGAAAAACTGGAGGCACTGGGATGCACTGGTGAGGGATGGAGAAGATGAAATAGAAAGGAGAAAGGAAAAAGATCTTCCCAGGGCCCCCAAATGCCGTCCCGCTCATCACCCTCCCCAGCCACAGCTGGGGCTGCCCCACCCCTCAGCACAAGGGGTGATGGTTTTAAACGGAAAGATAGAGGTCAATATAGACACAAACACTGGGAAAAGTTTTTACAATAAGGGCAGGGAGGCCCTGGCACAGGTTTCCCAGAGAAGCGTGGCTGCTCCATCCCTGGCAGTGTCCAAGGCCAGGCTGGACAGGGCTTGGAGCAACCTGGGACAGTGGAAGGTGTCCCTGCTGGTAGCAGAGGAGTGGAATGAGATGAGCTTTGGAGTTGTCTCCTTTATTTATTTATTTCCGCGAGCACGGGGAGCGCGGAGGCTCCGGCGCGGCTCCTCCCGGCCTTCCTTCCCTCCCAGCCGCGCCGCTTCGCTGCATTCCCAAGGCCTGGAGCGACACCAAGCTGCCCTGGCAGGTTCTGCACGGCAGCTCGGCTTTGCAAGCCTTCGTCCTCGCCGTGCTGCCTGTTTTCTTTCCCTTTTCTCCTCGTCTTTCTCGCCCTTTTCCCCTTTCATTTTCCCACTCTTTTTTCTTCTCCTTTCCCCCTCACCGTTTCCGCCATTATGGCCGCCTTTTCCCGCCCTTTCTTCTCTCACACTTCTCGCACTTTTCCACCTCACATTTCCAGCCCTTTCCCCCTCATTTTAGCTGTTTTCCTGCCCCTTCCCCACCATATTCTTCACCCTTTTTTTTATCTCCCTTTCCCCCTGACCTTTCCCACTCTGTTTCGCTCATCTTTCCCCTCAGTTTGCATCCTGCTGCCCTGCCCCTTGTCACCCTGGCTGTCTGTCATCACCCTGAGGGGCTGACCCCTTTCTCAGTCACTTAGTCCCACCTGTCAATCAATCTGATAGCCTGTCAATCACCTAGTCCCACCTGTCAATCAATGACCTTGTTGTCCCCTTGGCTGTCTTAGCCCTCAAAGGCCCTATAACATTCACAGCAACCATGGATCCCATAGCCCCAAGAGTCCTCACGGCCCTGAGAGCTCTGAAGGACCTCACAAACCCCATAACCTTCCAAATCCCTCTAGTCCTCACAGCCCCCAAAACCTCTATAGCCCTTGCAGCTCCA